GGTATGGAATAGTATCTCTCCTCCTGCTGCGCGACTCTGGGCACAGGCCTCGCTGCCTCGCTGCCCCTCCGCCCCCGCCCTCGGCCGCTAGCGCTCCGCCCGGCCACGCCCTCGCCGTTATTTATTCGCTGGGCCCCGCCCCCGGAAGTCCCGCCTCTTACTCTACCCCTAAGAGTTCCTCCCGGAACCGGAAGTGGAGAGAGCGGCGTGGAGGTCACGCAACAGAGCGAAGTTTCTGTTTTCTGGTGCAGTTTTGTGCCGCTTCATCCCGCTCATTTAGTCCTCAGGGTGTGGAGTTGCTGCGGACCTAAAGCCTGGCACCTGGGTCTCCGGCCCCACGTAAGTCCGGACGGCGTTGCTCTACTTCGGTTATCATTTTCCTTTGGGTTTGAATTCCCTCTGAGAGTGGTCCCTGCCCTTGGCTTTTCTACCTTCGGTCACGGAGACACCGCCTTTATGCCGTTTTCCTGCTTGAAACGCTTTACTACCGCCGCCCCGCCCCCCCAACCCCTTTCCCCATGTAACGTCCCCTTCCGCGAGGTGGATTTGCCCCTCCCCCCCCGCGCCCGACCTCGCTGTCTCGGCTCCTGGAGGGCAGCGCCTGCCGCCTCGTTCTCGTGAGGCCCCGTCCTCTCCTCGGGTCCCAGGATTCTCGGGAGCCCGGCCCTTTCCTGAGACCCCCTGCCTGCCAGCCCGGGTCCTCGTGTCCTTTTCAGGCCTTTCTTCGTAGTCAGCCCTTCCCCCACCCCGGGAAGTTAGAGGTGACCATCACTAGCCTTGTTTTTACGTCCCAAATTGCACCCTGGTGGAAAATGGTGTCTTCGGTAGGCGGCTGTCTCATTCAGTCGCTATCTTTCTAAATACGTGGGTCGAGAGGACCAGGAAAAGCAGGTGAGGGGTGTGAGAGAAAAATAGAAACACTGATAAACGAGGGAGGACCGTTGCGGACGTAGAGGATGGTTGAGGCACTTGTAGAGAGACAGTAGAGACAGGAAAGAAATTAAAGCTTGAAAGTAACAGGTGAATTAAATAGAGGTACATTAAAAAGCCCATCTCCAGGTGTTGGAGATCGTCGTAGGGAGAGTGGCTCAGGATCAGCGGTAGAAGGGAGCGCAACGGTGGTGAGGCTCTTCACACGGAGAATAAGGGGAGAGGATGAAACAGGTGGAACCATGACCCTCGGCGTCGTGGTGCTGAGAGAGAAAGGAAAACTAGTAACTGGAGGAGCAGAGGAAGAGAGAGCAGGAAGTATAGCCACCAGGGAGTACCAGAGAGTGGGCCTAAGGGACTGTAAGTGAGGTATTAAAGGTGTAACCAGAGGGCAGAGAGGAAGCAGAGATGGAGGAAGGAGACAAATATATGGAGATTTAGGGCAATCAGAAAGGTTAGAGAGGAGGCACTGCTTTGGGAAAGATCCCGGGTGTTCTCATTTATTTCAAGTGGTAAATCCATCCTTCTCCCGAGGGAAAAAAATAGAAAAGATTGGAGATAAAGAGCAACAAGTGGGG